TATACTCGTTGAAGTCTCTTACCTCATTTTTGTTTTACATTTTTTATTGGCTTCAGCAGATCGTTGTGAACCTTCAGATTTTAGGTAATATTTTAATACATTTGAATTTAATTTTGAATATTTAGTTGGTGCTGGGCTGTTTTTATGATGTTTCATGCACATGCTTCTGTTATTTTTCACGCTGCAAGTATTTGGATGCTTGTAGTTATGGCTCAACTAAGAGTTTTAACTATTAGAAGGTACAAATCTTTAAATATTTTGAATATTCTATTTTGTAAAGTCTCTCTAATTTTCAGAATTTACTTATAAAATATTTAAAATAAATTTTTAGAGCCACGAAAGGGCCAACAACTCCATTAATAACAGAACGCTTTACTGCATTAATTGCTTTACTCACAACCATTGTTAGTTTTTTAATAAAATAAAAAATAATTAAATAATTATTTTTAGACAATGACAATTGTAAATATTCCAAATTTTTTGACATTTGAGGTATTTGTAATATAAAAAAAAATAAATTTAAATATAAAATAAAAAAAGATAATGGAAGAACAAGCAAGCGTTATTCTTCCATGTTGGCAACCTTCTACTAATTATTTAACGACTGTGCCTTCAAATTATAATACTGGCATTGAAGGATTTATAAATATTACTTCACCAATAAATAATACAAATAAAATTAGAAGACATAGACTAAAGTAAAAATAAATAGAAATTTAAAAAATAATTAAATTTAAAATCTATTAATTTAAATTATTATGGCAGTTATCATCTAATCTCGTTACTACAATCTCTTTAAATATTATGGGGAGTAAGAACCTATCTAATAATAACTCTATTTTTTAATATTATTTTATTAGTCTCCTTGTTAAATATCTAGTTATCCCTCCTAGTTATTGAAGGAAAATATAGTTGGGGATTTATTCAAAAATATAATTGCTTTTAATTTCTAACCTCCAATTTTAATATTTATAACTTTTAGACGTTTTCAACGAGAACTACCAACTTTAATTGGAAATGACCATTATAATAATTTAACTAAAACGACACAACCTCCCACAATTTTTAATAATGAACCAATAGTTTATACAGTTCGTCCACACGAAAGTGATTGTATGAATCTTAAAGTAATTATTTAAATTGTGAATTGAAGTTAAATTAAAATTTATTTTTAAAGTTAGCTTTTTGGACAAACGGAATTTTATTTAAAGTAATTCCCTGTATTTTACTTACATTTTCTATTGCTGCTTTACTAAGAATTATTGCGGATGTTGCACATAAAAGAAAGAATCTGGCACAAGTTATGCGCAAAAAAGTTCCAAAAGATCATACAACTCCAATGGTAGGAAGGAGAGGGAAAGGATTTTTGAATTAAGTAGATAAATGAGTTTTTTACTTCTTTTGGGAAATTAAATTATCTTTCACAACTTTTATCTAAATATTGAAATTGAGAAATATATGATTTTATTTCTGGGGATTTTGAAAAAATTAAAATTTTAATTTTAAAATTGTTTCTTCTTATAGCTTGCTGCAATTTTAACAATTTTTCTTTTGGCTGAATTACCTCAAGGTCTTTTACACGTTTTGAATGGAATATTTTCTTCTGAGTCTTTTCATAAACGTGTGGTAATTAAATTAATTATTTTTTAAATTTTTTAAAAAGAATTAATTTAGTATTTGCCTTTGGGTGATTTAATGGATCTTCTTTCTCTCTTAAATTCGGCTGTTGGATTTTTAATTTATGTTGGAATGTCAAGGAAATTTCGAACAGTTTTCCTGCAAATACTCTTTTCAGTTTTGCATTTTATATTGAGGTAATTTTTAAAAAAATTTTTAATTAAAAAATAAAGATGGCGAGGCTTTGGTGGTCTTTAAATTATTAGACTTTTAACATTTTTAAAAATATTTGTGTTGTTGTTAAATATTCTTTTTTTTCTTCAATTTTTCCTTCAATTTAGAAATTTCTTTATTTAAACATTGTTTTAACTAAATATATATTTACGAATTATCAGTGATATTCTAATAATTTAAATCCTTTATTTTTTAACATTTTCTTTAAAAATTGTGTTCTCGTGTTTTTGAATTTTATTTTCTGATGAGCATTGGTACAAAGAAAGGAAATATTAGACAAAGTTCCGTCTTTTTAATTTATTTTTTACTTTTCTTTTAAGTTAAATTTTGTGACTATCAAAATTTTTTTTAAATAATTTTTAAAAAAATCAAAAAAAAAACTTTTCAATAAATTTTCAATTTCCCTCTTAATTTTATAGGGCCGAACTTTGTCTCGCTTCTCTTCCAATGCCAATGCTCAAAAGAAACCGTCCTAAACCTATTTTAAATCAATCTATTCGGATTAAACAAAATTCAAAAAATAAAAATGGTTCTGGTGGGGCAATTGTAGTTCAACAATCACTCAGAAAATTAGAACAACGTTTGGCTGAGGAACGAGAATTTTCTGAAGTTTTGGGAAATTTAATTGACAACAAATATTTTCTTCTTCGAAATAAACAACAAAAAAATTTAAAAACAAAATCTTCCCCTCATTCTTTAGTTCACGCAATGAGTGAAAAATCGACGTGTTCCTCCTCATCTTTTATGAAAAAAAGAAATTTAAAGCGTCAAAGAGAACCTTTAAAACTTCGATCTTTTTCGACTATATCTACTTGCCAAGAATCTTTTTATTCTAAAAATTTTCTTAAAAATAATCAAAATAATTGTATTACTACCACCTTAGCCTTGCCTGAAAATAAAATGATTGAAGAAAATAATTATGAAACTGATAGAATATCAAAAAGATATATTAATCGAATGGCTGATTCTCGAAGAAAGTTTTCGAAAAAATAATTAAAAAATTAAATAAATTGTGAGAGGAAATAAGGAGCCATTCCAAAAAAATATTTTATTTTTATTTTAGTAAATGTCCATGTTTCAAAAAATTTTTGGCAAATGATTGGGAAAATGGAAATGAAGAAGAAAAAGAATATTGCAAAGCTATTTTCCTAAGAAAACAAAAACAACAACAATTCTCTCAAAGTCATTATTCAATTGCTGAACAACCAAGTTGTTGTTGCAATAGCACAATTTTGCCAATTGTTTCTAATAATGGAGGAAAAGGGGAAATTTTAAATAATGAAGGAAGGAGTTATTGTAAATGGAAATGTCGGAATGGAGGTGGAAGGGGAAGAAAAATTAAAGAAAAGAAGAAAAAAATGCAAGATGATGAATATGGTTGGCTTAGTTGGAGGAGATTATCTAGGAGTAGAACAACTGAATTCACTAATAGAACTGAACAGGTAAAAAGAATTTTTGTTGTGAAATAATATTCTAAAAGGTATATTATTATTAAATAATATTCTACGATTGTATGTAAAGCTAGAACTTGCCTATCTTAGTTAGTCCCATTGTGACTCATTTCCTAGATGAGTTAATAATATTTAATAAAATTTTAGTAATCCTGATACTTCCCTAGTTATTTCCTTTTGTTATTTACTTAACAGTCTAAATAATTCCAAGTGCTTTCATGACTTTCTTCTTCTTATTACATTTTCAACTAATTCCAGTTATCAATCTGTCCAAGTAGCATTCTTGGCCTTCCTCCAATTACCCTTGCCGCTTCTTGTTCAGCAGGTATAACTGCTGCAGCTGCTTCTGTGGGCGTTCATTTACTCCAATTGGAGGCTTCTCCTTCTGCATTAGAAACACCTGATCAAGAAAAATTATCTCCATTTGGTTCTCTACTTTTATTGCCAAAAATTGATCAATCCAGAAGAGCCAGTAATGAAAGTCAACAAAGCTATAATAATCAATTTTTGGATGTTCCAGACCAAAAAAGGGCTTCTTTTCTTTCTTTAAGAGAGGAAAGAAGGAGAGCAACACTTGAAACTAATCAAAATTTAAAAAGGCCTGAAAAACGAATTTCCTTTAATTTACCTCATCAGAAATTGACAAAAAATTTAAATGAAAATGAAATAAATTTTAAGAAAAATAGAGGAATAGCCCAATTACGAAGAAATTTTCTTCTTTCTATTGCAAGTAAAAGAAGAGAATCAGTTAAGGATATTGAAGGGCAAATGGAAGATAAAAATGTTGGTCGGTTAAATTTTATATTTTGAATGGTTGTAAGAGTAAAATATTCTTTAGAATATTTTTTAAAACCTCTAAATTAACTAGAAATTAAAATTTTGATTGAAAATGAGTGAGAGAAACGTTTGATTACATAACAATGCAATATTCATTATCAACATTCCCTCCTCTCCCCTGAATAAATACAGACTCAAAACATTTTTACTTCATAATTTAAGATAATTTATTTCAGATGTTTCTGAGCTAACTAAAAAATCTCTCTTAAAAATTGAATCACCCAAAGAGAATCAACAGCAACAAAAGAGAAGATTATCAACTTCTTTATTTAAAGTATTACTTGGCAGATTTCCTCAAAATAATTCTGAAAGATCAATTGATTCTGTCTCGAATAGTCCACACAGGAAAATGTACACACTTTCTGCTGAAACTAATTATGTTGGATGGACACCTTTAATTTAAATATTTTTAATTAAAAAAGGAATATCATTTATTAAATATTTCTGTGATTTTTTTATTTTTTGCTTTGCTTTTTTAATAAAAAATAATAATTTATAAATATTTAAATCTTTTAAAATGAATAAAACAATTATAAAATGAAAGTTTAACTTTTAATTGAAGTGTTTTTTTTTGTTATTTTTATACGAGTTTATTTTTCAAACATATCAGTGAGATGAGTGAAAATTAGATTTGCGAGTTAAGGCAACAGTAAATTAGAAGCCCAATGTTAAAAGTCCATTCGGGATTTATTTATTGAGAAATTTAGATTCGAAATTATTTTTTAAAAAATTATTTTTAAAACTTCCAATAAATTTTTACATTATATTCGAGCTAATCAAAGTCATTCTTTTAAATAAATATTTTTATAAAGTATCAATTTAAAGTACAAAATTTTCTGTAAGAGTGTATCCATGGGGATTATGTTAAAGTTTTTTTAATTTCTTAGAAATTACCCAATTTCTTCGCATTTTTTGTTTAATTTTTACTTTTATCTTCTTTTTAATGACTGACATCTTTATCCAAATATAAACAGAAATTAATGGCATTTTACTTTAACAAAAAAAACATTTAATTGTCAGTTAATATTTTGATAATAATAATTGGGAATTTTACGTTTATAAAATACTACTCCTATATTTTTTTTATTTTTTAAAAAAAACTTGTGTAAATAATTAGATACCATTTTAAACAGTAACCTAACTAGAAATGTATTAAATTGTCAATTATTTCCTCAATCCTGTCGACATAAAAAAATAAATTCTTAATTTCAGGGAATTTTTGGAAATTTACAGGCCTTAATTAAATATTTTTTTCGTTCTCTGAAGGTTGAAGATAATAATTAATTAAATTATTTATAAATATAAAAATTAATTTAAAATTCATTTTTAAAATTAAAAAATTGTTTTCTGTCATTTAAAAACATTTTTTGATTTTCTTTTTTCCTTTAAAATTATTTGTTAAGATCAACATTAACAACAAATAAAAAAATATAAAATGTGCCAATTGCTTCTTTCTCTGCTTTATTCCTTAATATCCCTCTTATAAAAATTTTAAAAAATTAAAAGAAAGAGAGAATGTTTTTTTCTTCTTTTTTTCCTCAATGAATGTATCAGTTTCCCCTGCAGAGAATGAAAAATAAATCTTCTTGGCCATAGACAAAATGAAAAAATTTTTCCCTCTGTCTCCAACAACCGTTAATAACCACTTTTCCTGTATCAATTTCATTTAAAAATGCCATTCAATTTATAAAATTATTTTTTTAATTATTTTTTAATAATTATTTTACATTTTATTTGCTAAAATATTTTAAGAAAAATTTGATTTATGCATGTTGCTTAAACAAAATTTAATTAATTTTCTAATAATAAATAAAAATTAAAAAATAATTTTATTTTTGTACTTAAATAAATTATTTTATTTATTTTTAAATAATTAAATAAGGAAAAAATAAATAATAATATTTAATGTTTCTAAATATTTATACATATTTATTTAAAAAATTATAATCTAAAAATATTTTTATTAATTTTCTTTTTACTGAGAAATTTACATAAACTAACCCAGTGCTGACCTAAACAAAATTATTTTCTACATTTCCTATAATTTTTAAAAATTTATTTAATTCTTAAAAGTCATGAATTAAAGAGAAAATAAATTTATTTTAATAAATATTTTATATAAATAAATACTTTATTAGTTTCATTAAATATTTTTTTCCACAAATTTATCTTATGTATGTAGATTTTCTTTTTAATTATTTGCTTAAAATATTTATTTTAAATGATTTTTGAGATTTTATATATAAAAATTTTAATCTTTAATATTAAACAAGTTTTTGTTGAAAATTAATTATGTTTGATTTAATAGGAATTAAAAAGATTTGATTTTCTGTTTTACAGTAAAAAGAATTACAAAAATATACCCCTCCTCAAATCATGATTTTTAATTTTAATAAATTTCGTATAATTTCTATTTTTGCTAGATAATTTTTTATAAAATTAAAATTTTCTCTCACAGTATTATAATATTAAATTTGTTTTTAACAATATTTTCTGAATTAACATTTTCATTTTTGCCTCGAAAATTCATTTAAAAAATATTTTTATAGATTAACTTAATTAAATTTACATAAATTATTTAATTATTTCTTCATTAAAAACATGTCTAGAAGTATGTCTCTTTATGGACGTGCTCCAGCCGAGCGAACAATGAGCCGCCCATTAGGACAGGATTTTGAT